CCGCCCGCGCGGCGCTCGGCACCGCAAACGGGCCGGCAGCAGGGCCCCATGGGTGACACTGGATCCAGCAGGTCCCCATGGGTGATGCAGGAGGCCAGCAGGGCCCCATGGGTGACAGCAGAGCCCACAGGCCCCTGCAGGGTGATACAAGAGGCCAGCAGGTCCCCATGGGTGATGCAGGGGGCCAGCAGGGCCCCATGGGTGACAGCAGAGCCCGCAGGTCCCCACAGGGTGATGCAAGAGGCCAGCAGGTCCCCATGGGTGATGCTAGATCCAGCAGGTCCCTGTAGGCGGACACCAGATCCAGCAGATCCCCACGGGTGACAGCAGAGCCTGCAGGTCCCCGTGGATGACACTGCATCCAGCACCCCATGGGTGATGCAGAAGGCCAGTAGGTCCCCATGGGTGATGCTAGATCCAGCAGGTCCCTGTAGGTGGACACCAGATCCAGCAGATCCCCATGGGTGACAGCAGAGCCATCAGGTCCCCACAGGGTGAGGCAGGAGGCCAGCAGGTCCCCATGGGGTAACACTAGAGCCAGCAGGTCCCCAGGCATTGATGCAGGAGGTCATCAGGTCTCCACAGGTTGATGCAGGAGACTAGCAGGTCCCCATGGGTGACACCAGAGGCAACAGGCCCCCACGGGGTGAAGCTATATCCAGCAGGTCCCCATGGAATGATGCAGGAAGCCAGTAGGCTCCCATGGGATGACAAGAGCCAGCGATTCCCCACGGGGTGATGCAGGAGACCAGCAGATCCTTATGGGGTGACACTAGACCCAGCAAGTCCTCTTGGGGTGATGCAGGACAGCAACAGATCCCATGGGGTGACTCCAGAGCCATCAGGTCCCCATGGGGTTGTGCAGGAGGTCAGCAGGTCCCCAAGGGGGTGACACCAGATCCAGCAGGTGCCCATGGGGTGCAGGAGGTCATCAGGCTCCAAGGGTGGTGCAGAAAGCCAGTAGATCCCCACAAAGTGACCCCAGAGTCAGCAGGTCCCTACTGGTGACCCCAGCGCCAGCAGGTCCCCATGGGTGTCTCCAGCACCAGCAGGTCCCCATGGATGGCTCCAGAGCCAGCAGGTCCCCATGAGGTGACACCAGAGCTGGAGATCCCCATGGGTGGTCCCAGAGCTGCAGGTCCCCACGGGTGGCCCCAGCACCAGCACTGCCAGGTTGCTGCAGGACGTTGAAGTCGAGCACTGGAACAGGCTGCTAGGCAGCGGTGGCATCCCTGTCCCTGGCAGCACTCCCAACCTGTGTGGATGGACCGTGAGGATGAACTGTGGGGATGGACCCACCGCACTGCGGGATGAGGGGCAGCAGGCGGGGCGCGAGGGGCTGCGGTGGCACCTGATGGTCTTGAAGGGCTTTTCCAGCCAAAAGGACTTTCTGATTCCAGAACACAGGTCCGTGCCCGGGGCGCTGCGGGACGCCCAGGCACCCCCATGGTGCTGCAGGAGCCTGGCATGTCCCCAGGGTGGCCCTGGAGGCCAGCACGTCCCCACGGGCTGTCATGGAGATCCACATGTCCTCAAGGCAGCGCAGAGGCAGGCAGCACGTCCCCAAGGGATGACACATGAGCCAGCGTGTCCCCAGGGTGCTACTGAGACCAGTGTGTCCCCAGGGTGATAGGAGAGGCCAGCACATTCCCCAGGCTGCTGCAGGAGGCCAGCACGTCCCCTGCGTGACACATGAGATGGCATGTCCCCCGAGTGCTGCAGGAGACACTGTGTCCCCAAGGGCTGAGCCAGGCGATAAAGTATTCCGGTGGGTGACAGAGGAGGCCAGCAGGTCCCCATGGGATTATACCGGAGATGGCATGTCCCCACGGTGCTATAGGAGACGGCACGTCCCCAAGGGGTGGTACAGGAGCCCATGTCCCAACAGAGCGGGTGCTGCAGGAGGCCAGCGGGTCCCCGCGGGTGCAGGAGGCCATGTGCTGCCCAGTACCGTGTCAGCCCCTGCAAAGTCCCCTGTCCCCAGACAGTGCCAGGTCCCCAGGCGCCTCTGCCTGGGACGCCCACGCAACAGCATTCCAGGGTCCAAGTGCCAAGGGTGACAGGGACCTGGTGCAGGCGGCTGTGCAGCCCTGGGCACCTCCATGCAGCCCCATGCAGCCCTGTGCAGCCCCATGCAGCCCTGCACGCCTGGCCGTCTCCCGGCGCGTTGCTGAGCCTGGACTGCCCCCTAGTTTCCCTGGGCACCGGACTGCGTGGGCTGCTGCACGTCCAGAGCCACCACGCACAGAGCACAGGGTCCTGGGCACGCGGGTCCCCGTCCCCGCAGACCCCGTGGGGGCGGATTTGGGGATATCTCTACACAGCCCCCGAGCATCCCCCTCCTGCACAGCTGCCCTAATGTGGAGGTGCCCCGAGGAGCGTGTAGCTCCTGCATAGCACCGGGTGGCACCCGCACGGCATCCCCCGTGCACACACACTGCACCCCACAGCATCCCCATGCACCCACATGGTGCCCCACTGCACTCAATGACTCCCTATTGCACCCACGTGGCACCAGTGTGACACCCCACAGTCCCTGTGGCACCAGTACCCACACAATGCCCCAGCATCCTAAACACCCGCTGCATCCTGCCCCAGACTCCCATCCCACCGCATCCTGCTGCATCCTGCCTCCATCCCACTGCATCTAACTGCACTCTGCATCCTGAAATACCCCACCCCATCCAACCCCTCCCTAACCCACCCTATTCCATCCCATCCCATCTGTGCTGCTGCAGGGCCGGGCGTATCAGGGAGGTGCCGGGTGCCTCGGGAGCACCCAAGACTCCCAGATTCCTGCCGGCGCCAGTCCCAGGAGGTGGCTGTGCCGGTGGGGAGGCCGGGATTAGCTGGG